TATATATTTTTATAAAAGTTATTTAAATTTTCAACTACTTTTTCTCAATAATTTTAGATTTTAAGGAAAAAATTAGCAAGCACTCGTGTAATACACGGGCGTTGTACTAGTTTTCTTTGTTCGTGAAAAGTGACGTCTCCGCATAATTGATTACTTAGTTTTATTTGTACACAATAATAATGATAATAATCCAAAAGATTATATAATAATTATGTAAAAGTAATCTAAAGATAGCAAAGGATAATCACAACACATTTCCTCATTTAAATATATCAAAAATGGACAATCTATTAATAAGATCATCATAATGATTTTATGATTATTTTGGTTAAGTGTGCCATCACTTATCACAATTTGATTATTCTCGTTTGTGATCTTATATTTCAATATAGTCTTTCTTATCATTATGTTTAGCATTAATCAATTTTATGATATTTGAATTGAAGTGGTCAAATCTTGCTTCGAATTTTATTTTTAAATGGCCAATTAACATGTATATATGCCACGAAAATAAAATATTAGCATGTAAAATAAATTACGTGGTAGTTAGAAAAAGATAGATGAATAAAATTGATTAGTGTGATATATTGTTTTTTTTTTAAAAAAAAAATAGGACCTGTGTAGACATAGCAGTATTTGTTGACCATTTGTCACGAAATATTTGGAGTAAAGAGACAACAATATAGGCATCTATCATATCCAAATAACCTATTCAAGTTTTGTTTGATAATGTTGGAAAGTAAGTTTAGTTGAGCATAATTGGATACAAAATTATCTCAAAAAATATCCGAATATTTTTTATTTAATTATTTTTTTTTAACTCAACTTTAATTCAATTCACAATCATTAATATCATCAATATAATTAAATAATATCAAATCAATCATTTTTACACACCACACCACCTTAATTCATTATTAACTTTAAATTATTTAATTTTAAATATTATTTAATTTAATCATTTTAACTAGCTACACTTCAAATCTTCACTTTCCTATTTTACATCAAATTAACTTTAATCATTTAATTTTAAATATTATTTTAATATACCCACTAACAACTAATCATACCAACTTTTTCAAAACTAACCAAATCAAACAAAAAAATCCAAACAAAACAAAAAGAAATTATATGCAATCATGCTCTCCTGTTTCATTTAATAGGTCCCAGAATTCTTGAAAACTTGATACTAGTCTTTAATCTTTATTTTTATTTATTAATGAATTGGGACAAGTAAATATTTTTTTATTTTATATTTAATGTATAGGATAGTAGGGACTTGGAGAAATGTACCCCTCTTCAATTTGTTATATATGTGTGTAAAGTTGTAGAGAGAGACTTCAAATAATAAAAAAAGCTATGAGTAGAATTGCATGTCATCATTCTATTTATCTCTCTAAATGTATGTGTTTTCTAGTTAACTTGATACTTCTTTAATATGTTTTATACTATTTCAAAAGTTGTCTTACATATACTGAAACATTATTTCGATTTTACATAAAATATGCCACAAATAATATAATGCATTTATGACTTTGAAATCACACATATGAGAAATGTTACGATTCTGTTACAGAACCATTTCGTCGGGATTTGTAACCGTGAGATCATCATGTAACCGTCGTAGATAATTGACCTAACGGTTACAATTCCTGACAAAATGATTCCGTAATTGGACCATAAAATCTCCGTAACATAAAAGGTTAATCCCCATAAAAGTGAAACACTAGTAGTTATCAAATCTTTAAAGTGGCGGGTGAAATGATTACCGTTTACACATCCGAGTTCATTGGATTATATATTATTATTCATACCTTAAAATTTATTCAAATAAAAAAAAAAAAGTTAAATTGCTACTCTACATAAACAGTATCTATCCTCCATTTAAAGCCACCATATCATATGTAGGTAACAATTAAAAAAATATTTGAAACATACAAACACAAGGGGATACTGAGAATCTTTTGTGGGGTACAAATTATTATTATCATTTGTATGCAATGTTTTTCTTGGTTTGACTTTTGGAAAATGCAATATGTACTATAATATACATATATATATATATATATATATATTTTAATATTTGAATGAATATAATGAATGTATAGGTAGTTCGGGAATTGCAGCACTCGAGAAACGGCGTAACGGTGAAAACGGAGGATGGGTCCGTTTACGAGGCCAATTACGTCATTTTGTCCGTTAGCATTGGCGTCCTTCAGAGCCACCTCATTTCCTTCTCACCCCCGTTGCCCGTACGTACCCTCCACTACTTTCTTCGTTATAAAGCTGGGTTTTTGTGTTAACTAGAGTTTATTTGAAAAAAAAAAATACTATGGTTGTTGTTAGGGTAATATTAAAAATTTATTAAAATAATATTTTAAATAAAATGATTAAAACTGATTTGCTGTAAAAGTAGGCGATAAATAATTGATAATGATAAATGGGTTGAATATCCAAATAAATATTATGCGCGAATCGATGTGCTATTAGAGACCTTAATTGAACGTACTAATTAATCATCAGTCAGGTACTTTAACTAGAGAGATGATGTGGTCTCGTTGCAGAACCATTTCGTCGGGATTTGTAACCGTTAGATCAACTATCTCCGACGGTTACATGATGATCTAACGGTTACAAACTCTGACGGAATGGTTCCGTAACAAACCCTGACTGAATGGTTCCATAACGGGTTTTCCCTTTAGTTTTATCTTAATTTAGTTTTCAGGCTTGAGTGAAATTAATTTGCATGATAATATGAAAAAGACACTAATAATGGGCACATGAACTTAATTTGGCCTTTCCTTTGATTTGAATTAATGTGAGGAGGGATACCCTATATTTATGGGTCCCCTCCCCTCCCCTCCCCTCCCCTTTTAGTTGGGCTGGTCCATATCACCTGCCCCTTTTATTATATGTGTATTCATTCACCGAATAATGTTATACTATCCACGATGGGCATATGTTATTATATTCACCGTTTATGTGACATGCACACATTAATGATGTTAATATGTTCAAACAAATACATCACCAATGAGTGAATGCCACATAAGCGGTGGACATATTAACATGTGCTCACCGTGGGTAGGTGAACATTACTGTTCATTCACCACCATATTCTTTTGTTTTGTTTGTGATACTTAATATTTGTTTTTTTTTTTTTTTTGAAGGAGATTTGAATATAGCTACATTATGCAGCCTTAACAATAAATTACATATACTTGCTCAGTTGCTTGAGTAAAATCTGCTCGTAGCCTAACAATTACATGCTAATGTGATACGTAAAAAAAACGCAACAGAGATGGAAAACGGATGCTATTTCAAATTGTGACATTATGGTGTACACGAAGGTTTTCCTCAAGTTCCCGCGTAAATTTTGGCCCTGTGGTCCCGGCAAAGAGTTTTTCATCTACGCACACGAGCGTAGAGGCTACTACACGTTTTGGCAGGTTCGTTATTTTTAATTCCAACAAAATTTTCGTCAGCAAATTTCACAATTGGTTGAGTAGTATAGTTTGGCTTGTAATATATCAAAATTTGGGCATCTACCAGCACATGGAGAATGCGTATCCGGGCTCAAACATCCTAGTTGTTACCCTAACAAACGGCGAGTCGAAAAGAATCGAGGCACAAGCGGATGAAGAAACGATGAAGGAGGCAATGGAAGTGTTAAGAAACATGTTTGGACATGATATACCATGTGCCACAGACATCCTCGTACCCCGTTGGTGGAATAACCGTTTCCAGCGTGGCAGTTACAGTAATTACCCCATTTATGTCAACCGTCAACTTGTCGATGACATTAAGGTTTTTTTTTTTCGATCCTTACTTATCACACCTACATATCAATAGTGATCATCTCTACCAAGATGCTTTGCTTTTTTTTTTCCCCTTTTTTTAATTATTATTGCCTTACGTTTTGTGTCGGCCATTTTTTGTCCAGGCGCCGGTTGGACGAATATTCTTCACGGGCGAACATACGAGCGAGAAATTCAGTGGCTACGTGCATGGAGGTTACTTTTCAGGTGAGAGGTCATGCAAAGATTAATTTTTTATTTTATAAAACCTTTTTTCACCGATGAATCGTTTATTGTCATAAAGCAGTAGACATTATTGTGAACAGGGATTGAGACAAGCAAAGCCTTAATTGAAGAAATGAGAGCAGAAAAGGAAAGGAGAAGAGAAAGTCAATCATTGTTAATGGAACCTCTGTTGGCCTTATCCTTACCACCGTTGGCTGCTCAACCGAACATCCCCAAGTTCGACACGCCCAGACAGCTTTTCCTTCACACCAATCTCGTAAACGAACCAAACAAATCTTAAGGATTTATTACGTAAACTTATTGACAATCATGATGATTTGACATGGTGATGTAAATAACATTGGATGGAGCCGGGGGAATGGCTGCTGATTATATTCGTTCTCTTGAGTTGGGATAACAGAACACAGGATAAGTGGAGAATGTGCATGTCTTAGGTTGCTGGCTAATGTTATTCAAATTTCTTTTCATGTCTGTGTTTTTCTTCTGTCCGATTTGATCAGGTTTATGTCGGCGGCGACGAATAATACAAGAAAACAGTTGGTCCATGATGTTGTGTAGTGTAGTTTGTCATGCCTTGCCAAGTCTTTTACCTTACAGTCATCATATCCTTTAGGCTCTGCTAAGTCTTTTACCTTATACACTACCCAAAAAAAATAAAAAAAAGTCATAGTACAACGGAAAATCGTACAGTAAAATATTTAAATGAAAATTTCAACGGATATTCTAGTAGTATAGGTTCCATTGGAATGATTGCAACGAAAATTTCAACGGAATTTATTCCAAGTGCTATTATTTCAACGGTTTTTTACTCTAGGAATTTTCGTTGAAATATACAATTTTTTGTTGAAATTTTTATTTTCACTCATATTTCAACCAAACCATTGGAAAATATATTGTTCGACTCGTCAAAATCCAACGAAAATTCTAATGGAATACATATTCCAACAGAACATTTTTGTTGCAGTTTCCGCTGGAATCCATTAAAAAATTTCAATGGAAATAATAGCATTGGATGTTGGATGGTTTGGAATTGGGATTTTACTTCAATTTCTGAAACATTTTTTTTTTAAGTTAAGGTTGTACAGTTTGTTTTAAGGAGGGAATCAATAAAGAAAAAAATAAAAA